AGTTCTGCAGTGCCTTAGGATTCACTTCCTTCAGGCCTTGCCTCCGTCTGTCCTTGCACCACTGTCTCTGGGCTATTTCAAGAGGACCTTTCCTGGGCCACCTCTTCCCATGACAAAGGGGTTGTCTTTCTAACACACAGATCCTCCAGATTCAAACCTTGTCTGTTTTTCTCTGTCCTGGGGTAAAATGCCAGCTTCCGGCTCATCACACCAAGCTCCCCATTGCCTCCTTTTCTGACCCTGCTCTTCTGCTCCCCCTCCCCTCCCCCACCAGCCACACTCCCTCTACATCCCAGGACCAAGTCATAACCTTGTGTGTCTCCTCACTCATGTATGCTCACTCACTCATGTAGGTTTGAAAGTCTGCTTCCAGACGAATCAGGGAATGAACTCTCTGCCTCCCAGAGCATGCTGGGATTCCTTGGGGCCTTCCTGTTACATACCATGATATCTACCTAAGGGCTTCCCCAGGCTCTTGCTCTGTTCCTCTGTGGCAAGCTTGGAAAGAGGGGCTCAGGAAGTCTGTCCTGGCTTCTCCTTAGCCTGTAAGGTCATGAGCAAGAGGCTTCATCTTCCTGTCTGGTCTCTTCCTTGGTAACGTGGAGTGATGACAGTGGCCATTGACAGCCAGGGGGAGCAGATCATGGACTGCAAAGGGCTTGAAATTTAGTAAATGGAAGCTCTTAATAGACTCTCCCTTCAGGAACCTGCAAAACATGTAAATTTGCAATGTGTCTGACTGGATTCAAGAAGGCCCGAGAAGCCAGCATATCAGAATCCAGTTAAAACCACATTCAGAGCATGCCTGGAAGATTTAGAAGAAAGGAAGTACTTCTCTTAACGAAGCAACATGGGAAAGGGGGTCCCTGCTGCCATGATATCTGACTAGAGCTCAGACATAGGCCCTGACTGCTACACCCATAACCTTGCTGTGTTGAAGGAAGGGAGAAGATAAGGCGATGGCTGGTGTTTGAGGTCCTTGAGCTTCAGGGCCAGGGTGGGGTTAGGGTGGAGCAGCCTGCTTCAGGCTGGGCAGGACTTGTGTGACTATCAAGTCACCCAGCCTCCCCGGTGGGTGACTGTTCCAACTCCACCCAGATGAGCAAAGTCAGACTGGGTTACTAATACCAGGGCACTTAGAACTCCATGAGTCTGGAACTTTCTATGTTTGTACACTTTTGGTATTTTACCTAGATTATCCACCACCAGGGATAAAATAGGGCCTGTGATTTATCACTTCAGCAACAAATTGAAAAATGGAGTCAATATTTCTGGGACCTCGGGTATTTGAACGTTTAGGAAGCCGTTGCGTGACATTTTAGCTCTAAGAGGGGAGTTGTATTTCTCTTAGTGAATGTGTTTCGAAAGCTTTTGGATGTTTATCCCCACTCAATAATAGCTTTTAGAGGAGTTGATTTACAGAAACAATCCCCAACAAAGAACAAGGTGTGTCCTGGAAGATGTTTTCTCCAGTGTTATTTATAACCAAAAGGAGGCGTGGCCTTAGAGTCTAGCAGAAAAGGGGAGTGGTTAAATCATCCTTGCTGTGTCTGTTGGCATCTTACTTTCTGCAGAAGAACGTGCTCACTATATATCAAGCAGGAAGAGAGGGACAGCAAGCACAATTCTAGTTCAGTTTTGAAATGCAATCTAGTTTGGGAAAAGGGGGGGCACTACCAGGTTAAAGGCCTGAAGAAAATGTGGTCAGTGGGATATTCCCCTCACCCCTGCCCACCGCCACTCCAGGTTCTTTTTATCTACAAACAGTTGTCACCTATTGCTTAAAGAGAAAAAGGAAAAACAAACAAACAAACAAACAAACAACCCTCTCTAAAAGCAGCACAAAAATGGCGTTTTGGGAAAGCAGCACCTTTCCAAAAGCACAATCCGTGCTTTCGCCCTTCCTGGAGCAGCACGCACGCACGCACGCACGCACCACGCATGCACGTTTGACTCCCGGCTCTTCCCTCTCACTCCTTGCTGGTGGCAGCATGCTCCCAGATCTGCTTGGCTCTGAGAGTGTTGCCGCCTTCTTAGGCTGTCAGGGAGGGAAGGTGAATCTGTATCTCAGCGCCTCATATTCTTGGGTCCAGGCATCTGCAGCCTGCAGCCCACAGCAGCAGCTGCCAGCTCCCCTTCCTCGGGTGGGGGGATGAGGGAAGGGCAGGGGCAGAGCTCAGTGCCCATGGGCTCCAGAGGTAGGCCAATGGGACCCTATACCCCAGAACCTGGAGAACCTTTGTATTTTGTAGATGTTCAGACATGCGCACACGTGTGGTTCTAAGGTTGGCAAACCCAGATGCTTTCCTGGCACTGCCTTTCACTAACAATGTAATTTGGAGGAAGTTATCAGACCCCCTCTGTCTTAGTCAGTGGGTGCATGTGTGGTTTTGGAATAGTTAAAGCTTTTAGGCAAGAAGGCAGAATCTGACATGGCTAAAACACATGTCACCAAAATATGGCTGATAATCTTTTCATTTCCTGTCTTAACCAATTTCATTGAGTTTCTAATCATGACTTTATGACAACTCAGATACCACAGCCTTCACATACCCAGTAAACTTCTCTAAAGCAGCAAATTTTATTCCCTCACAGTTCTGAAGGACAGAAGCCCAAAGCTGACTCTCTGGGCTAGTGTCCAGGTGTCTGCAGAGCCAGGCTCCCCGCAACTTTGGGCAGAGTGGCCCCTGCCCGGCACTATACGCTCAGACTTCCCTAGCGCTGGCTGCTCCCTTCATCCTCAAAGGTGTGATATCTTACTTTGGGGGCCATTCTGCTTTCTCCTCCACAGAATGCCCCTCTGCTCCTCTCACAACGACATTTGTGGATTGTGTGTCTCTTCTGGCTAATCTAAGATAACCTCCCCATATCCAGGGATGAACTGAGTCACATCCACCCAGTCCCTGTAAGGCAACATTGGCCACTCTACAGACTAGAAGTGGACAGCAGGCATTAGGTATGGGAGCCTCACTGGGACCTACCTCCCCTCCCCGGGGCAGATGCTCCAGCTGACACACCCCCTCCCCAGATCAGAAAGCCTTTCTCAGCGTGTCCACCCCACCGGAAGCCACATCAGGGGGTAATATTGAAGATGGAATCTAAGAGGGGGATTCTCAGATGCAGCTGCTCAGAATTGAAGTGGCCAAGAGCTAGGAGCAGGGAGTCCTGTACCAGGAGCTCTAGCTCTCGTTAGTCTATGCCAATGCACATGTGTTGGTTCGGACTGCGTCTGCAACCTGGTTGTCAGGTTATCAGACAGACGTTGCACAGTTCTGGGCTGCCGGTCTCAAGATTGGACCAGGGAATGAAATGCACTAGTTACTTGTGTGTGTGCACATGTACACACACACACACACACACACACACACACACACACTCACACACCAGGAGGTAGCACTGTATTCAAGATTGGCCAGCATTCCCCCATCAATGTGGCATACATAAGCTAGACACAAATTGGTTATGGTGAAAACCCTATCACTAAATGTGCTGAATACATCCTAATTTGGACACCAGGACCTACCTATCATAGCTATTCCGAATGTTTTTCAAACGCCAGATGGAAATCCCCCAAACAGAGGAACCAGCTTTCCTTCTAGCTGGCTGGATTAAGCCCTCACAAGGAGAGGCGGCATTCTAATAGGGCCTCTACTGCCCTCAATGAAACACACATCTCTGGCTTCCACACTTGCCCAGACAAAGATGCCACTCAGCTATACCTGTGACTAGTATCACTGCTGTGATGACCGAGGGTCTAGTAAGGCCAAGGGCAAGCCTTTCATAGGACATGAGGCTCTTAACACAAAGGGCACAGAGGCCTCTTAACAGTCCCAGGACATCAGAGAGATGTTGGTCTCCTCCATCGGTCATCCCTCGAAATATCCTGGGAGAGCCTTCTGCTATTTCTTTGTGATAAGAACTACACTAACTTAGAATCCCTGGCCACTTCCTTCACTTGAGCATCACCAGCACCATAGACATGAGTATCCCAAAGCAGCCCTGTACTTCTAATACTCATCCAACAGCCACCCCCACCCCCTGATTCTTTCAAATTCACTGATCCACCAGAATCACCTTCATACCTTCAGCTGTATCATGTGCATGGGGGAAAACATGTTTAGGATGCCTGCAGTGGGTGGAGGAAGGACCCCAAGGCCTCTGTGAATGCAGCTGGATGTAGAGAAAGTATCATTGCTGATGTGATGAAGGATGTTGGGAATGAGCTCACTCTCGATCATCTGGTAGATTCTAAACCAGCCAGCATCTGTCTTGAGTGACAGAGGGGAGAACACAGGAGGAGAGCTATGTGAAGACAGAGTTTATGGAGGGAGGTGGTGCAGCCATAAGCTGTGAAAAACGGCAGCCATTGTTGGAAGACCCCAGAATGCAGAGGACGCAAAAAGGGAACATGGTCTACAAGCTTGAGGATTGCAAAAACTTTTATTTCCTACCCCCGAGCTGGAGGTAATTTGTTAGGACATTCCCCGAAGATTAATACAATGACTTAGAAGGTTAAAGAAAAAAATAATAAAAGTGTTCTGATGCTGTCTACTCTAAAGCATTGGCAAGGGGACACACACACACACACACACACACACACACACACACACAAACACTAGGATCTTTGCTAATTCAACTCCTTAGCTAAACCTTTCCCCAGGAGACTGTGAACATTTTTTCCAAGAAGAAATAGGCTGGGTTGGATACTTTATTAAAACTCACCCCAAAACTAGGAAACAGGCAGGCTAAGCTAGCAAAGTGGTAGCCGACATGCAGAATGACAGCCTCTGTGTATAATGTCCTGACTTTCCCTGTCAAGAGGCTGGAGAAAGTCAGGCTCCTTCGATTTCTGGGCTGGAAATAGAACCCACTTCAGAAGCTGAAACAAAAGCCTATGAAAAGCCAGGAGACTAAGCTTTCTGCATACGTCTGAAGAAAGGGCCCAAGAGTCAGACTCAAAAGTCTAGAGGATGCTGGGACAAAAGAGAGATGGGTATTTTGAAGCACAAGGAAGCACTCTGGGCCGCATGCAGCAAGATCACTGGGCACCAAATACTGCCGGGAAAGCTTGCTTTAGGGTGAAGGTGATGAAAACGATCTCTTCGTAGTTATCTGATTCATACACACACCCAAATAGTGGGGAGCCATCAGGGCCATGCCCCATATTCTGCAAGTCCGAGTAGGCACAGTTTCCTGTCGCCAACAGGGTGGGCTCTGACCAGGTCGTGGGGTCCAGTGGCTTCTGGTTGAGGTACACACCCAGGTTGGTCCTCTTCCGGGAATCGGTAGGGTGGGTATAGAGCAGCCACACATGTAAGGCATCTGCCCCTGAGATGGGGTTGGGGAAGGCAACCACACTTCCTTGGCAACCTCCCGGAGGCTCTACAAGTTTACTCACTACCTGGTTGTCCTGGAAATCCAGGCCACTGTTAGGACTTTGTGCCTGGACCCTGGCTCCCAGGGAGCTCCTAGCATTGAGATAGACCACCCTCTGAGCTCCAGTGCCAACATCAGCCACCTGGCACTCCAGTGAGTTCTGGGACACAAAGTGGCCCAGCTCCCATGTGTGCCCATGGTCATGGCTGAGGAAGCAGAAGGCAAAGGGGGCAGGCGCCTGGATAGAGGATTGTTTCCGGTAGGCATAAGCAGGGACCAGGAGGCTCCCAGCTGTGTTTTGCAGCTGCAGACAGTGTCCAGGACCCACACCAAATGTGGCCCAATCCTGATGGGTGTTGCCAATGGCGGTATCTGTAATGTCCTGGACGGCGCTCCAGGTCTTCCCATGGTCAGTGCTAGTGATGTAGCATAGCCGTGTGACATTAACCCCAGTCTGGAGCTGGTGGTATTCTGATATTTGCCCGCGGATGGCGATGAAGAAAAGGAAGAGGGTCTTTGTCTGCTTGTCATACAAGGGACACGGGCTCATGGAGCGGTGGCCCTCCAGCTGGGCTTGGGTCACCACCTCCTCAGCTTGCCACTGAATGTGAGGAGAGTTAAGAAAGAGAAATGCAAACTTGAAATTGCTTGTGACAAGGACAGGAGCTACTCTGGGGGCCCAAGGGCAGGTGTATCTTAGAGATAGAGTCAAAGGCCATGAAGGGACTACTTCACTTATCAGTTGCCACCACCCTCTCCTAGTGCAACAGGAGCCAGGCTCCTCTCCCTGTCTCTATCACTGCCCCTCCCTGAAAGCTGTTACTTTGCTGCCCACCAACAGACATTTGCAGAGCACCCATGACATGCCAGATCCCCAAGGCACAAAAGTAGCTCAGGAGCCAGCAGAGTCAAGGGACATGACACCAAGCCTGATGATGACTTCAATCTCTAGCACCAACATGATAGTATGAGAAAACCAACTTACTCAAGCACATGTACATATAGACAGACAAGCAAATAAATGTGACTTAAAAAAAATTGTAAGGAACAATGGTAGGAACCATTCCTAACCCCATCCTTCCTCTTTCTGGCTAGTCCAGCATTCTTAAAAGGCAACAACTTAGTATGGACCACAAATGACTGGTTGATGCAAGACAGAAAATGAGGGTCACTGTTATGGTAGGTTGCCCTGGCTGGTCCTGCTTCCAGCCCCAAATAAACACACAGAGACTTCACTTGGTGTTACCGGGTAAGCCACGGCCTGGTGGCAAGACATAGATGGATAGAAATGGTTTAATAATTAAGACAAAGCTAGCCAATAAGGATCCATAGTCATTGGCCAACAGAGTTATAATTAATATAGCGTCTGTGTGTTTATTTGGGGCTGGGAAGAGCGGTGGGACCTGCTGGACCAGAAAACTTACATCAACAGGTCACCCTGCATCAACTACTTATGAGACTCTACCAATGAACTCAGAGATATTGAAGATTCACAATGAGCTTCCCTGCTACCAGTGTATGGCATGTATGCCACAGCCACCATCTATCCCTAGTCCACATCAGTTGCCCCACCCCACCCCATGCAGGGTTCTAAGCACAGATGACGCCAAAGGACTGTGTTGCCTAATCTCCCAGATGCTGAAGGAGAAGTATCATTAGCTCCAATTCTTATTTTGAGAATGAGAGGCCTAAATAGGTAGCCAAGTTATATATATCAAATACAGCGTCTCTATGTGATAATTGGGGCTGGCACCACAGTGGGTCCAGGCGGCGGGGGAAAATCTACTCGTTACACCATCCTTTGGATAAGGAATGGACCCAAGCCTTGAACTCGGGTTCATCCTCTTCCAGCATCATGACTGTGCATAACAATTAGGCTGCAGCCAAAAGAAACTTTGACGCCATACTCTGAATAACTACCATGTATTCGTAATAAGAGTAATGTTACGAGGGCCCACACAATCATCCAACCCCTAGCCCCCAGATTAATTTCCCTCAGAGGTTACCACTCCCTGGTAAATGACAATGAACTGCTCCACCCTTGGGCTTTCAAAGATGCTGGGAAGCTCAGCTAGGCATGTGATGGAGCATGTGGTCAGCCAACAAAACTTGCTCCTGGTGAACCCAGGTGAGGTCTGGGTTGGGCACTGGAACCCCTCAGCCATCCTGTCCCTGAATGGGTTTCCAGGTCCCTCCCAAGCTTCCTAGATTTCATCAGCATCCCAGTCATCAAGGGATGGGCTTGCCGCGGTATTCTGTGAGCTCTAAGCCTGGTTCCACAGTACCCGGCACCCTCATGAGGCAGCTGGGTCCTGCCTTACCTGGACCTGATGGGTGTCTGAATTGTAGCTTCCTCTTCGTAGGGAGAACAAATCAGCATGCTCATCTGTCTTGCTCAGACGCTTTTCCACAAAGGCCAGCAAGGTCTTCTGCTTCGACAGGTAGATCAGAGCAGGGATTCTATAAGCGTAGTCTCCTGTCTGGAATAGCGTCTCCTTCTGCAGGACAGGGCAGGTCGCCATGGGCCTGAGATCTGGGTAGGAAGAGAAGATATAGTGTTTGCTGTCATACCTGTGCCAGGGTCATTCAATTGGGTGACACTCATCTGACCGACAAGCCAGGTCCTGTCTGGTGGCCTGTCCTCAAAAAGGTTCTGTGTCCTTTCTCATATCCCCAAACCACATTTGCCAGTTGTGCAGTAGCATTGGCATGACTCCATCTAGGAACAGAAAAGTGTGTTTTGTATTAGGTTCCTGCCATAAGTCAACCGCTCTCTTCACAACAGATTTGTGACAACCTTCTGCTGTAAGCCTGCGTAGAGTAGAAGAGTTTGCTGAGCAGCACTCCGCAGCTGTCCGGATGCCAGGGAATGACACACGAGAGCCTTTTATAACTCCAGAGCCTTAGAAAGCTGTCCCAGAGAAGAAGAAAAACACCTCCCTTTCCCAGGCTGCCTGCAGCTGATAAACCAACTGTCCCCACTGTGTGGGTGCCGCCCTGAGGCAGGCAGGGGGTATCTGGATCTGGAGAGATAGACTCTATTTACTAATGGGGCTGGGTGGAGCCCCAGAGCTATAAGAAAACGGACAACAATAATGATAAGTATTTGCTGCAAAGAACTGGGAAGTCAGGGGATAACTTGGTGACTATGGTTGACAAAGAGTTGACAGCTAACTTCTTAGCTGGAATAACCACTGTGGGCTGGGAGAACCAGTTGACAAGGTAATCTTCAATAAAGGATTCATTTCATGACTTGCCTACCCAGAACATACGTACAGATGTTAAGATAAGTCATAAAGCCAGGCACTGGTGGTACACACATTTGGTCCCAGCACTTGGGAGGCTGAGGCAAGCAGATATCAGTGAGTTCAAGGCCAGCCTGGTCTACAAAGTGAGTTCCAGTACATAAAGTACAAAATAGGCCAAGAAGCCTGTTCTGACGGAGTAGGTATTTGATCAGGGATGAAAGGTCAATATTATTGCCAATCCCTTGCCAAGGCTAGGATCTGACTGAGCATTTGACAGCAGTTACTTCATCTAACCCACAGATTTCCTGCCCTCTGCAAGCACACAAAGCTCAGAGTGATGCCTTTTATAGAGAGATGCTGGAGTGGAGGCAATGGAATAATAGATCCCTGCTAATCCGGGTCCATATGGAGGATGCTCATCTCTCTAAGCAGCCAATCCCTACATATTAGAGACAAGACTGAGCCCAGGAGTGCAGAAGATCAAGGAACAAGGACTTCAAGGTCAGAACAAGTTATCTTACCCACCCCTTCAGCCCAAACCCACACAACTAACCCCTACCCAGGTGTTCCTTACAAAAGACCTTTTGTGTTCTCTAAGTACCCAATGGTTCTAGAAATCCTTGTGAATTGGGAAAATTTGTCACTCACAAATATTTATTCATCCTCTCGATATCCCCCCCATACACACTCATGGTAGACATTAGTACCATGGTCACCAAGGCTTAAGTGGCCAAGCTGAGTGCAAAGGCACTTCTGAACTCCATCCTCTGCACTCGAGCAGGTGTCTAGGGCCCTCTGGGGCACCGTGGCACAGCTCTACTGCCAAACAGTGGCAGTCACTTCCAGATGATGCACTGGAACAGAACTAAAGTCAAGAGTCAAAAACTCAGATTCTGAGACCGGATGGAGATGACTCAGTTAATAAAATGTTTGCCTGAGTTCTATCCCAAGAACTGGTGTAAAAAGCCAAGTCTGACACAGTATGTTTGTAATCCCTGGGAAGGCAGGGACAGGCAGATCCCTGGGACACCCTGGCCAGCCAGCCTAGCTACAGTATGAGTTCCCAATAAGTGAGAGACCCGAGGAATGACACCCAAGTTTGACTTCTGGCCTCCACATTCACCCACCCAAATTCAGGTTCTGAACCTTTGTCACCTCCTAAAAGATTGTTCACTGTTGGAAAAGTTTCTCTCTCCTCATAGAAAGCAGCAGGCTAAGTGAGGCAGCCACAGAGGCCCCATCCATCAGCAGTGGATGAGCCTGGATGGGACCGGAAAAGGCTGGAAAGTAGACGGGGGCTTCAGTATAAGCCAAGACTTACTACAGTAGACCAGCAATGAGAAAGGTTACACCATCATGTTCAATGTAAGAAATTGCCTGTAGATCAGAAAGGACTATATGGCAGCCATTTCATTTGAGCCTCCCTAAGGCTACCCAAGGCTGACTGACACAGCTGTGGTCACCAAGCTCAGAGCATCTTCCATGAGGAAGTTCACTTCTCCCACACACCCAGGAAAGTAGGCATCGCTGCTCTGCCACAGTGTGAGGAAACTAAAAAGTGGGCCAGGAAGGTGGTAGGTGGCTCCCCACAAGTACACAGCCTCAAGTGGCAGAGGGATGTGGCTCTGAGTCTGGATCTGCCAGATGCCACAGCCCACACACCCCAGACATTCAGTGGAGGGTCTCACTGCTTCCTCGTCCTGTCCTGCTGGGGCACAGCCCGGCACACATCTTGCAGAGCCAGAGATCTCATTGCTGGTTCACTTGCTCTCTTCTCTTCAAGGAGATACTTGATAATTTATAGACTGGCACCTTCTCAATACCAGGAAACACAAGCAACCAGGCCCTGGCCCTACCCTGTGGGACCCCAAAGAAAAGCCAAAATGTCAGTAGTTATATGGAAGGATAAACGGGTCTGTGTTGCTATCCACAGAAAAGCCTTTGTTCTAAGTTAGTTTTTTTTTTTTTTTTTTTTTTTTTTTTTTTAATTAGTCTGAGTCAGTTAGTGAGTTTTTAGTTGTTCTGAGTTAGTCTGGATGGACACTGCCTGTTGGCTCCAGCCCTGGAATGATGCCTTTTCTCCAAGGAACAGCAGTTGTCTACCCTAGGCCAATGAAAGCCCCAGGAAGGCAGCCTTCTGCAGGGCCATCAGCCCAAAGTGTGGTCAGCCTCTCCCCCAACAAAAACCATCTCCAGCAAATTTAACAACTCCACCTAGAGCCAGGGCATGGTGGCATTCCAGTCCTAAACTGATGGGGGCCCTGAGTCACACGGAACTGACACCCTGAGCACTCTCTTTAGAAGTTTAGAGAAAGTCATTCTAGAGTAGAATCATCGGTTCAGTTGCTGATCTGAGTCCCCTTCCTAAATGCCCTTTAGGTACCCTAGAACTCATGAAGGTGTGTGTCCCACCAGCATGGGCTGAGAGACTATGAAACCAGTATGCTCTTTAAATTGATCTCACCGGAAACTTTCCCACGCACCACAACATCCTCACACAATGCCCTGGCAGGAAGAACTCCTGTTTATGTCAACAGAGGGACATAAGCCATACCTGCAGGAGCGGGTGCCCAACAGGATCCAGGGAGGTCTGGGCTTGTAAGGACAGACGCAGTGGGATCTGGTTTCTAGAAGGTCGCTGTGGCTCCTGTAGTCCCCTGGCCTGGTTTCCAGTCTCAGCCCCTCAGTCAGTGCATACATATCCACACCTAAAGGAGTGCTCCTATTTGCCTCCCACTCATCTGACAAGGCACACTTCAGGGTCACTGTCAGTGTCCAGGCCCAGCCCTGGCCTAATTAGGATGCTGTCTCTCATTAGTCTGGAAGAAGTCTGCCAGCTACCAACCCAGTCACTCCTGAATCACAGATGACTTGGGGCAGTATGAGTCAAGTTGTTTCTTACAAATGGATGCATTGAGCAACACACACTCAGTGGGAACAGATTTCCTGGGGTTTGGAAAATTGTAATGTTCCTGGGGAGGAACAGGTTAGAGGCATGTAGAGCTTGGCTGCCTTCTGGATCAGCCAAATGACCCCTTAGACCCTCAGGTCCTCTGAAAATGAAGACGAAAACCTTGTGTCAATCCTAAAATGTATGAAAGCACTCAGAAGCTGAATCGAGTCCCCTTTGTAAAACCCTGACCAAACACTGCATCAGCCAGAAGGCTCTGAAACAGGGGACTCATACATTTTCTTAGTCTGCTTCTTTATTGCTACGACACACACTATGACCAAAACCAACTGTAGTTTATCCCATCACTAAAGGAAGTCAGGGCAGAAACTCAAGGCAGGAAGCAGACCCCTGGAGGATCGCTGGCTATTGGCTTGTTCCTCGTGGCTCACTCACTTTGCTTTCTTATACTTTCTAGGACCACCTGCCCAGGGATTGTGCCACCTACAGTGGGCAGGGCCCTCCCATATTAGTCATTAATCAAGAAAATGCTCCAGAGGCTTACCCACAGGCCAATCTGATGGGAACATTTTGTCAGTTAACGTTCTTCTCAGATGACTCTAGCTTGTGTCAAGTTGACAAAACAATAAAATTAAAAACCCAGTCAGAACACATGCATATCTGATAGCAGTTAGGAAAGGCTCTTTCAGAATACAAAGGCCAACTCACACGCACACAGAAAATACGGCAAGAACAACTATCTTGTCCAATGTCAGATGGAGGCCAACCTTCTTACTGATCCTTGTAGCCAAGAACAACTTCAAAATAACTTACAGAACCCTCATTTTGCCTCTAAACACTTCCCTATTTCCCTTTCCCTCCAAACACACCCACATGTGTTCTCATGGCCTTGTCAATTTCCAAATATATCTCATTCTCCATTCCCCTTCTCCTGTTTCTCAACTTCCTACAGAGGGCAAAAATCTTCAATGCCTTGCTTGCTCTAATCTGAGGTACTCCTGACACACCATTGGTCCACCCACTGATGGACAGATGGCTATCATCCACGAAAATTGTAGCAGATAACTCATCTGCCCTTTAGGCTAGTGTTTGGTAGGTTATAGACCCAGTAGATGTCAGCCCCAGGTGATGAACTCTTATCTGCTGGCTCCAACATGTCCAAGGTTCCATGGCCTTTCCCAGAGGGACAAGTCACTTGGGACACAAAGCCAAAAACATATCCCACTGTGTTCCAGTCCTCCGTAGGACATGGATGGACTGAACACAGGACACATCAAAAGATAGATAAAGTCAATTTTGTTTCAAATCATATATTTTGTCTTAGTCTTGACAAGAGAGGGAGAAAGAGTTCCATTTTTTGTTTGTTTGTTGCTGTTTTTTGAGACAGAGTTTCTCTGTGGCTTTGGAGGCTGTCCTGGAACTAGCTCTGTAGACCATGCTGGACTCAAACTCATGGATATTGGCCTGCCTCTGCCTCCAGAGTGCTGGGATTAAAGGCGTGCACCTGCCAAAGGGTTCCCTTTTATTTCCTTTCTTATACTGGACAAAGTCCTTTCATGATACCCTCCCATTGCTGCTCAGGTCTAGGATGTTCCCTGGCTCAGAGCTAAGCACACAGTCAATTCTTTAATTCCTGGGAGGTTTACCTCACAGGCCCGTCTCCCTGGTCACAGTGGCCCTTCTCTATGGCCTCTTCTGGGTCCTCATGCTCTGATCTTGGCCTCTGTCTCTCTCACTTGTTCTGAAAGACAGTCAAGTCAGTGTGGACTTGGAATTTCTCCATGGAAGCTTTG